CTGATGAGAGTGCTCGTTGCTTGAATGAGGCCGCTGATGCCGCTGCCACCTCTTGCAATGAGAGTCATGCTGTTGAGTTCCAGGCGAATCAGGCACGCCACCGTTCTGCTGTTGCATGGGCCCGCCTGGCCATCGTGCATCAAGAAGTTCACACAAAAGCGTGGCACGAATGTGTGTTTGCAGTAGCCCATGCCAGGCGGCAGTGGCGCGAACTGTAGTTCTTTTTATTTTCGTTTTGCCCTGGCTGTTATCCCACGCTTCGGCGGCAGGGTGCAGTTACACACATACATACATACATACATACATACATACATACATACATACATAAGTCGTTCACTTCTCGCTTATGGTGTGTTTTCGAGCTTGCCGCATTTCTGCACAGCCAAAAAGCACGCAAAACAGAGCTGGTGGTTTACCCAGTTTCCGTGGGCGTAGTTCTCCTCATAGCACATGCCGGTCTCTTGGCTGTCTAATTGAATGCAAAGTTTGTTTGTTTTACGGGATGTTGTGGTCATAGATTCCTCGTGTACTTATGGTATAAAGTACCTTAGATACTGTAGACCTCAACATGATATCGGTCATTGTTGAGGCTTCTACTTTTGATAATCCCCATAAGCCCCGTATGTAGACCTAGTTTCCAGGTCTTTGTCCATCCGTGTGCCAATTGATTCTCCAAACCCTAAACCCACGCCCCCATAAACCCTAAACCCACACCCATAATTTAAACCCGTACACTCTAAACCTATTGTGATACCATCCTAAGACCCTCAACCCCATCCCTGTATAACCCCTATGCAACGTATAGAAATATGGTTGAGTGATAGTGCTTCGGCTCGCCGGAACATGATTTTGGTCCATTCAGGGTTCAAGGTTTAGGGGCTAGAGGTTTAAGGTGTATGGGAAGAGTAGCCCTTCACGACCCTCATATGATAGAACCTTTATGGAAGGTCGTCAAGATTATTGACCCTTTTCAGTACCGGAAAGGAAATTATGGACCATTTATAATTGGGACCCCACGAAGTCTCGTACTTGTTGGGAACATGATAACTGTTGAAAACATCCTGAATTGGTTATAGCAGGTTACACGGGAAACCATGTTCTAACCCTTCAGGCCTTTACATGGGCAGTCCCCAGTCCCTGTCATTTACAACGATGTTCCCAGCTTAAGGACTCTAGCATCCAGACCTGTAAGCCGCATTGCACGGCTTCAGCCTTCTTATGCTGATCATCGCTTTCACGCCTTCTCAGCTTGGGCTTGAATATAATGATATCATGTCTTGGGGCATTGTGCTGTTTGCAGCGGTTTGCTTTCCAAGCCTCACAGTACTTGGATTCGCGGTCCTCGTACCTGATTCGTGGTTCATTGCAAGACTTTCTAGTCATCCACTATTGGTATAGATATGTACACAGCCGAAGCATTGACGAGATCCATCGACAAGTCCTCAACTTCAAGATTGAGCGCTCCCTTTGCGGCTGTTGTGAGATAAACCATGTATCGCGGACCGGTGAGCACATAGCTTGTGACCGTGAAGTCATTTGTCGTTGTATCGTGGCTTGGTTCGGGTCACTGGAAAGGTTCGAGGACCATGTGCGTGGCAAAGTCCGCGCGGTTTTGGTTCAGCAGTTGATGCGGGATGCCTTCTCCTACTGGCACTTGGCGCAGGTCGCCAGCCCAACCATCTTTGCATACCTTGACATCCTGGCCAGCCGTGCAAGAGAGTACGGATGGCATTCTGGATACGCAATGCGCCCGCCGCTGCTGTTTATTGCCAGGGATTTCATCGTTGTGCTACCCACTTTGATGCTTGTCCTACTACAGCTCTCCTACAAGCTGCGGAAGGCTTGTGACACAGTGCTCAAGAGACTTCTATTCTCCTTCCTACTTGTCTTCCTTGGAGTCATTATGTATGCGGGAGCGCGATTCTTTGTGACGCTCTGCAGGCATTTCCTCGAGGATGAGGCGCAGGGTGCCAAACAAGGTTTTATGAACCTCAAGCCCTAAACTTTGAATCCTAAACCCTAGACCCTAAACCCAGAACCTTCACCCTAAACCCTAGACCCTAAACCCTAGACTTAAACCCTAAACCCTAGCCGACCTTGGTTCAAAGCCCACATCTTAAACCCTCGGTCCTGAACCGTGGCTTTAAGGTGCAGGGTTTAAGGTCCAGGGTTTAGGGTCCCCTTCCCCTAAAAATACCACGCCCTCAATGACACCCCTGGCCCATATATACATATATATATATATGCTACCCTCTACATATTTATACTACCGTTACACATTAGGGGACATCATTTAGGATATGTATATATATGTGGTACCAGTACATGTTGGGGAAAATCGTTAGGGTCTGGGAGGATGCAGTGGAGATGGGCGGCAGCTCACTCCAGGGATCGGCCAAGCCTCAGACCCCAAAGCTCTTCAGTTGTGGGATTTCATAGGGATCCCTTTTGGGGGTCCTTATAGAGGGGATTGTGGGGTAAGGGAACTAAAGGTAATTTGGGTCTACAGGGACCACAAGTTCGGCTACAGAAAGGCGAGGGATTCGACCACATGTCGTTATTATTGTATACCCAAACCCCAAAAGTATGTAGAATAATAGCCCTAAGCCCAGAATCACAGCCATAAAGGCCATTATTTTACATACTTTGGGGGTCCAGGTATTGTATATGTTCTACCTCAAAGAGGCCTCAAGATGATATTGGTAATTCTCCAAGCATCTGCATGACTCATATGAGCCATAGTCTAAACTCCTAAAAAAAGGATATAGGGGAGTATTATAGCGGTTATTAAGGGGAGACTAGGAGCTTAAATTATAGCTCATATGAGAGTTTCTGTGGTTCAGATGCATGTTTGTGTGTGGTTTGCGATGCATGCTACCCCTGAACTCTACCCAAAGGCTCCTATGCAGCCCCTGTTTGGGTTCGCTCTGGTTTCTGGCAAGGGATTGTAATACATAACCCCAGCTGCATGGGAGACTAGGTGTAGGAGGCCCCAAACCCGTGTTCAAAGCTCGAAAGATACATGTTCAAATCTTGATTTTTTTTTTGTGTGTTTGTGTGTTTTTTGATTTGCACTGCTGGCTCTCTCTGATCAGCTCACAAGACTCCACGCTTTACCACAGAAGATTTAGAGCCCGGAACTGGTAATCATCCCGGAAACCAAATCCAAAAAATAAAACCCCAACAAGCAGCCAGGCTCTTGCAAATGTTGTCGTGCTTGCTGTGCTGTCACCGCTTTCCTTACTCATGTGGTGGTGCAGTCCACGGGCAGAGAGTGAGTTGGAGTGAGACTGGGGTTTAGGGTTTAGGATTGGTATTTTTTGTGGGTTAAGTAATGAGGGTTCATATTAGCTATAGTCTAAACTCCTAGTATCCCCATAGAGTAGTCCCCTACATAATCCCCTAAATAAAGCCCCCTTGAAGGAGCTTAGACTATAGCTCATATAGGGTTAAGCACGCGGGGTGCGGGGATGTTCAGGTTCCGAAGTTTAGGTTTCAAGCGGTTGGAGCCGACCCTTCAGGTTTAAGGTATCGAGTTGATGATGGTTTAGGGTTTAGGGTTCGGGGTGTGTTTGGTTTCGGTGTCTATATAGTAATATGAAGCAGTCCCTCTTTGAAACAGGAAGGGGCAGCCTCTTCCGCAGTCCTTCAATGGGGGCTGAGGTTTCACAGCAGCCGCATTCGTGAGCCAGACTCCAATAAGATGACATTATGAGCCCTAATCCCCACCCTAAACCCTAAACCCCCAACCCGGAACCCTCAATCCTGAATCCTAAACCCAAACCCCTAAAGCAGGGCTGCACTGAAGCATACGGAGGAATTTTTGGAATCGTAGGAATCCTGTGGATGTTTACGATTCGGGTCAACAGAATCCCTGGTGGGAAAATAGGATTTCACTGGATTTGGGGTTTAGGGCTTAGGGTTCAGGGTTTAGGGATTAAGGTTTAGCATTTAGGGCTTAAGGTTTAGGGTTCAGGGCAAAGGCCTAGGGCTTGGGGCTTAGGGTTTAGGCTTAGGGCTTAGGGCTTAAGGTTTAAGGGTCTAGGGTTTAGGACTTAGGGCTTGAGGTTTAGGGTTTAAGTGGGGATACATGGCCCCTAATGGTGGATACTTAGGCCCTAATCGAGGGTATGAGGAGGGTCTAGGTACATGGCCCTCCGAAGTTGGGTGTTCTAAGGATTGTAGACTTCAGCGCAAGGCTTTGGACCAACGGTTTGGCGAAACTGCCCAACTGAATTGCATGTTTATTTTAGGTAAATCCGGAGGGCAAGTGGAACCGCGCCGCGAATTTCAAAAAGTTGCGGGGCATGGTGCAGACTGATTGAGGAATTTCCACAGCTTGGGGTCTCTAATCAGAGGGTCCTCACAAACCCAAGCCCACCCCTAAGCCCTTAACACGTCGCATTCACAACTTCCCAAAGTCATATGACAGGCAGGGGGTCCTCGTATTGGCCCGTTGGGGTGGCCACTATCCTCAACACATCCGAAAGGACGCGTTTTTGTGAATCTTCAATTGCCAAATCCATGGGTCCTCAACTCTGTGCGAAGCCTTAAACCCTAAACCCGAAACGAAGCCCTTCCCTCAAAAATTCTCGGATTTCGGGTACACAATTCGGCTTCAGGGTTTCGAGGTGCAGGGGTTACTTTAGGCTGCGAGATGCCATACGTGGAGTTTCAAGCCCAGTCCTAGCTGTATCAGCTATAGTCTAAAAGTCTGAACTCCTTAAGTTTAAAGCGGGTTATATAGGGGAGTATTATAGGGGTGATTGAGGGGAATGCTAGGAGTTTAGGCTACAGCTCATATAGTTGCATCCCAATCACAGCCATATACGAAGGTACTTCGAGGGCTCAGAGTTGGGCTATAATGTTATCTCCGCATGAACCCCCCCTCGATTGATCTATCTGCCTTTGGGAGAGGCCCTGAATAAATAAGTTTGTTTGAAACCTACTTAGAATCATCGAAAATCGAATTGAGACCAGCAAGAATCCTGGGATTGCATAATTGTGGGTTTAGCATAACTCTGTTCCGACGACAGGATTTTTGTAATTGCGGGCCTAGTTCCTAATGCGGAGTTGACATTAGCTACAACTGCACTTGGTGTAGAAGTACCGTGAAACTTCTGGTAAGTACGTGACCTTTGCTGGTAGGCCTATAGGGTTCAAGCCATTGCATGCTTTTGCTGCTTTGAA